TTACGTGGCCGCGCTTTTTTGCCGCTCTCAGCGCTCCACTCTTATCCTTGGAATAGTGCAGGTTTGACTCCTTTATGAGTTGATTGTGGCTTATTTGCTTCATTTTGACCAAACCCTGCAAGCAAGCACATTAAGTTAATTTTCGGGAATACCTTTATGCATTTTTGACCCAAAACCTAAGCAGATGAAAGCAAATAATAGGCTAAAACCACTAGTTATCATGCTTTCCCATCACGTATGAAGAGGAAGTCTATTTTGTCAATATCCACAGATGGTCTACTGAAGGTGAAAAGGAGAACTATTGTTTACACTTGCCAGCCTCGTACAAAAGCATAGAAAGAGAAAGAGAAAGAAGCCAGGTCGACCATCCAAGGAAGTCGAAGAGAAAAGTCAGTCTTTGTGGAAACATCCTATCACATAACTGTGGAAGATAGCCCAATGCCTTGACGTTGATGATGAAGTCCACGAGGCTCACCCTCAATTAGATGATGGCGGTCAATCAACTGTGGATGAGCTTAAGGAACTCAATTTAGGCACTCCGAAAGATCCACGCCCACCTTCATTAGTACACTTCTTACGTCTAAGGAGGAGAAGGAATACTCCAAGTTATTGACCGAGTACAAAGATGTCTTCCCTTGGTCGTATAAATAAATTCCTGGTCTTAGTCCTAAGGTAGTCGTTCATCATTTAGGGATCTAAAGTGGAGCACGCCTTGTGAAGCAGTCACAATGCATGTATCGACCCGATCTAGTACCACAAATTGAAGTCGAAGTCAACAAGCTCATCGAGGCGGGATTTATTCGAGAGGTAAAGTACCCATCATAGATATCGAATATTGTGCCTGTCAAGAAGAAGAATGGTCAAATACGTGTTTGTGTTGACTTTCGAGACCTAAACAAAGGGATGTCCGAAAGATGACTTTCCGCTACCAATTATTGAACTCATGGTTGATGCTACAACAGGGCATGAAGCTATGCCATTCATGGATGGGTCCTCCGGGTATAATCAAATCAGAATGTCTCCAAAAGATGAAGAGTGTACTGCTTTCCGAACTCCAAAAGGGATATATTGCTACAAAGTGATGCCCTTTGGTCTGAAGAATGCTGGTGACACCTACCAACGCGCGATGCAAAACATATTTGATGGCATGCTTCATCAGAAGGTTGAATGCTACGTTGATGACTTAGTGGTGAAGACGAAGACTAGGCATTACCACCTTGAAGACCTTCGAATTGTTTTTGAAAGGTTAAGAAAATTCGACCTAAAGATGAATCCACTCAAGTGTGCATTTGGAGTTATGTCAAGAAAGTTTCTTGGCTTCATTGTGCGTCATCGTGGAATTAAAGTTGATCCCGCAAATATTGACTCCATTCAGAAAATGCCCGAGTCAAAGAACTTGAGGGAGCTTCGAAGTCTACAGGGAAACTTAGCAATCATTCGGAGGTTCATATCTAATCTGGCTGGACGATGTCAACCTTTCAATCATCTATTGAGGAAGGATATCCCTTTTCATTGGGATCAGTCATGTCATAATGCTTTCGAAAGCATCAAAAGATACTTGCTGAATCCACCTGTGTTAGGGGCACCAATGATCGGAAAGCCATTGATACTCTACATTACGACACAAAAACGCTCTCTTGGGGCACTACTTGCTCAAGAGAATGATGAAGGAAAGGAACACGCCTTGTACTACCTCAGTCGAACTCTGATAGGAGCTGAGTTGAACTACACGCCTGTTGAGAAAATATGCTTAGCGTTACTTTATGCAATAAAGAAACTAAGGCATTATTTTGAAGCATACACCATCAAACTCATCTCTCGAGAAGATCCTGTGAAGTTTGTGATGACTCGACCTGTTCTTTCTGGACGCCTAGCAAGATGGTCCATATTGTTTAACCAATATGAGATCACATACACACCACAAAAGGCTGTGAAAGGACAAGCACTCACCGATTTTCTAGATGATCACCCTCTTCTGGCGGAATGGGAGCTTTCTGATGAGTTTCCAGATGAAGACGTTTTGTTCATTGAAGAATTTCCACCATGGACAATGTTCTTTGATGAATTCACACGTCGGAATAATGCGGGGTCAGTTGTTGTGTTGGTCTCTCCAGATAGACAAATCTTGCCATTCTCCTTTATTTTAGGTGAAACATGTTCCAACAATGCTGCATAGTACCAAGCTTTGATCATCGGTCTTGAAATGACATTAGACATAAAGATTCTACAGTTGGAGATATGCGGTGGCTCTAAGTTGATCATCAACCAACTTTTGGGGATTTACGATGTAAAGAAGGAAGATGTAACGACCCGCCCGGTCGTTTTGACTATTGCAATCTTGTTCCCCCATTTACTGCTCAAATTGTGAATTATAGTTGTTATTTGGCTTGACGGGGTAATTGGTTTGAGTTCGGTGAGGTTTTGAAATGATTTGGAGCGCTTAGTTCCAAGGTTTAGAATTTAAGTTGAAAAGGTTGACCGGATGTTAACTTATGTGTAACGACCCCGGAGAAATTTTGCTAAGGAAATTAAGGTTTGGTGGTGTCAAGGTAGATCAATTAGTACAAAGATTATAGAAAGCGGGCCGCATAATGACCATAGACCGGGTCAGTAACGCCCAGCTTTGGAGGCCAAATTATGCGGCCGGTATGCGGACCGCATACCTGTTATGCGATCGCATATGCGACCGCATAATTGTGTCGGAGCTTCCATTCTTTCTAATTTTTGACCCGACCCAACTTCGATTTATAGCCCTTGAAGATCATTGTTGAGCCAAAAATCTGATATTTTAGAGAGAGGTGAGAGCATTTTAGAGAGAGAAAGTGAAGACTTAGTGATTTATCCATCAATTCTTGTTCAAGGTTTGAAGATTTCACAAGGATCTTGCTAGGGCTTCAAAGAGGTAAGAATTTCTTTCCCTAATTCTTCAATTTCGGATTTGGAGTAAAGATGGGTGATTAATAGTATGATTCTTGAGTGTAGTGTATCATATATACATACCAATAAGGTTGTGGAAAGATTGTTAAGTTCAAATGGATAAGGATTGGGTTGAAAATAGTAGAAATCTTCATATACTTTAATTGAAGATTTGAGGGCCGAGTTGGTGTCAGATTTTGGTGAAATTTATATGGTTGGATGGGCGTTCATATTCTGTAACTTTTGTCGGGTTCCGAGATGTGGCCCCCACGGGCGATTTTTGAGTTAATTTCGGATTTTATTGGAAAAATTAGTATTTTCTTATGAAATTAATTACAATAATTTGTATTGACTGATNATTTGCTAATTGATGTCTTGTACTCAGTCATGATTTTTCTTGCGTATTATACCTCAGTCTTTCTGGATATTTGTTGATATACTATGTTATATTTGTTTGGGCTGATCTTTGTGATTTCTGAGAGCCCGAGAGACTTGAGAGGTTGAGGATTGAGTAAGGCCGAGGGCCTGTCGGTGAGGTAAGGATATTATGGCACGTGAGTTATCCGTGCAGGATATTATAGCACGTGAGTTATCCGTGCAGCACGTGAGTTATCCGTGCAGATTATCGTGCTTGGGCTGTAGGAGCCCCTCCGGAGTCTGTACACATCCCCAGTGAGTGCGGGTACCCATTGAGTGTGAGTGCTGAGGGTTGAGAGCCGAGTGGTTGAGCTGTTGTGATAAGTTGAGTGACTGTTGCCTGAGAGGCTGTACTTGTTTTACATTTGTTGTTGCACTTGGTAGCTATCTATCATTGTTGTAAAATCTCTGAAAGAATTTATATCCGGTTTACTTGGAATTGAACTGTATAAAATTGATTTGACTTAAACTGCCGGATTTGAAAGCATGTCTATTCTCTGTTGGAACTACTAAAAGTGAACTATGACTGTGTAGCTCGTCATTATCTTCACTTCCTTAGTTATTATTGTTACTTGCTGAGTTGGTTGTACTCATACTATACCCTGCACTTCGTGTGCTGATTCAGGTGTTCCTGAACATAACGGGTGTTGATTATTTCGCGCAGTTGACTTTTAGGAGATTTTGAGGTAGCTGCCGTGTTTCGCAGACCTTGTCTATCCTTCTCTATCTCCTTGTTTACTGTATTTGGTCTCAGACTATTATAGACCGTATTTTCCAGACTTGTACTCACATTAGATGCTCATGTACTCAGTGACACCAGGTTTTGGGAGTGTTGTATCGGGAATTGCAAGATCTTTGGTATTGTATTAAACGTTACGTTTTAAAATTTAAAGGAAATCGTGGGTTATTGATGTTGTCGGCTTGCCTAGTACTGAGATAGGCACCATCACGACAGGTTAGGATTTTGGGTCGTGACAGAAAATCTTTTGCCATACCACCAATATGCTTCTTGTTTACTCGAAAGATTCGACCAAGTGTTCTTAAACCATGTCCCAAGAGAAGAAAATCGCATGGCTGATTCTTTGGCTAACTTGGCCACGACGATGGCACTTGGAGAGAATGAGTCAACAAAGGTACATGTGTGTCATCGATGGGTCATTGCTAGGTTTCTTGATCTTAAAATCAACGAAAGTCTTCATACGTTCGTTGGGGTGATTGAAAAAGAGGATTGGAGGCAACCATTGATAGAGTACCTTGAACATGGAAAGTTACCCGAGGATCCGCGACAAAGAACAAACATCAAGCGAAGGGCACCACGATTCATCTTCTACAAGGGGACATTATTTTGCCGCTCTTTTGAAGGACTATTCTTGTAATGTCTTGACAAAGAAGAAGCCCACCAAGCGATCGAAGAAGCACATTCTGGTTCATGTGGAGCACACCAATCTGGTCCCAAGCTTCATTTTCACATCAAAAGGATGTGTTACTACTGGACGACAATGGTGAAGGATTGCATGGAGCACACCAAAAGATGTCAAGCGTGTCAATTTCATTCCAACTACATCCACCAACCTCCAGATCCTCTTCATCCAACTATAGCTTCATGGCATTTTGATGCATGAGGACTTGATGTTGTTGGACCGCTTCCAAAGTCATCAAAGGGACAAATGTACATATTGTCTACCACAGACTACTTCTCTAGATGGGCTGAAGCTGTTCCACTCAAGAAAGTAAAAAAGGAAATTGTTGCCGATTTTATCAAGTCGAACATAATTTTTAGGTACGACATACCAAGATACATAATCACGGATAATGGAACGCCATTTGACAACAAGCTCATGAGGAGTCTATGTGAAAATTTGGTATCAAGCAACATAAGTCTTCAATGTATAATGCACCCGCCAATGGCCTTGCCGAAGCTTTTAACAAAATGCTTGGTAACCTTTTGAAGAAAGTTGTTTCAAAGAACAAGAGAAACTGGCATGAGAAAATTGGTGAAGCTTTGTGGGCATACCGGACAACCTTCAGAACTGCTACACAAGCAACTCCTTACTCTTTGGTGTATGGCGTAGAAGTTGTCCTTCCGTTGGAGCAACAAATTCCATCATTACGGATCACACTCTAAGAAGGACTCACGTCTGAAGAGAATGCTCAACTTTGCCTAGCAGAGTTAGAGGCATTAGATGAGAAAAGATTGGAAGCACAACAAAAATTAGAGTGCTATCAAGCTCGACTAGCTAGAGCCTTCAACAAGAAAGTGCGACCACGATCATTCCCAATGGGAGATTTAGTCCTAGTTGTTCGACGACCCATAATCCTCAACAAACGCATAGGCGACAAGTTTACCTCAAAATGGGATACGCCGCATGTTGTGAAGGAAGCCTATTCAAGTGGCGCATACAAAATTATTGATAAGGATGGTCTCAGAGTTGGTCCGATCAATGGAAAATTTCTGAAGCAGTACTTTCCATGAAAGTCAGCTATGCTCCTTGACGTACGAGCCTAAACTGCAAGTCATGACGCTCCTCGACGTACGAGCCTAAACTGCAAGTCATGACTCTCCTCGACGTATGAGCCTAAACTACAAGTCATGACGCTCCTTGATGCATGAGCCTAAACTGCACATTGCTACACTCCTGGCCCGCATGAATTTAAACTGTGTACGGCCAAACAAAATCCGCTAGGTTGAAAGCCTCACGAGGGGTGGCCTAGGCAAAAAAATTAGGACATAAAAAAAAACTCATCCACTGAACTACGTTATGACTTGATCCTCTTCACCGAGGTACGTAGACAGCTTAGAGTCTCATTCTAAGTTCAGTCGCATGAGTTTTAAAATAAAAGGTTTGGCTTATGGGATCATTAGCTCTTTCAAGTAGAGAGGCATATATAAATATGAAAAAGAAGACGATTTGCATTGAAGTGTAAAAGATATTTTATTGCTTCAATGTTACAAAGTTGATACATCCAAAAATGTGGAGACGAAAGGGATTAGACATTATCCTATACAAAAGCCTAAGTAATGAAAATGATCGTCAACTTGGCTTTGTTGTTGACGCATCTTAAATGTTTTTCCAAGTTTGTATGACGTCTCCACATTTAATACGACATTCTCAATGTATGTCTCTCGCCATCAGTAGTTGTGATGATCTCTTGACCACGTCTCTTATTGTTAGGCCTCAAGCATGATAGCTTGCTTATCTTGTGCAAGTGTTGGTTGAAGCTCCCATATATGAGAAGTAGTCTCTCTTGAAAAAAAACCTTCTATCACCATAGGATCTGCCATTGATGGACTTCAAGATTATCAACAAATCAAGTACAATAGTTGGTAAAGGGGTGACTCCATATCTTGCATGACACCTCAGTATGATATCTGGCCCCTTTGAGCTCCTTTGCAAGTTTGCAAAAGAAGTAAATGAAGAGATAAGATTTGTGAAGCATGATATATAAAGTTACTATATGCAAGACTGTAGAGTCAAATTCAAGAAAATAACAACATTCATAGGACAACTCAGAGAGCATAGAGATGAAAAGCGAGCTCAACGGACGACATGATCAACTTTAGAAAACTACTGCGGTCTATATGAAAGACATTCGACCCCTAACATTTTATATGTTATGGATTTGGATGTCTAGTTTCAAACAACATAAACGGTTTGCGATTTGGAGGCTCTTAGCTCAAGATACGAACTATTCGTCGGGAACTACACGAATCTGAGAGTTTACTGCAGCTAGGTCGACTTTGAGAATTTTTTTGTTTCGAGCTATGCCATGAAATTAATATATGTTTCAGGTCTCTGCGTTTACTTTTTAATGGCACAAACAGATTACAATTTGGAGATTCCTAGCTCGAGATATGAATTCTTTGATAAGAGTGCGCAAAGCTGAAAAAACGAGTATGGTAAACGTCCAAATCAATTTCAAGAAATTTCTGCGGCCAATTTAGAAGGAATACTTCTACAATATTTTGAGGATTTTCTTATCTCTGAGTCCTCTTTCCAATGGAGTAGACGGCTCATTATTTGGAACTTCCTAGCTTGAGATATGTACATTCTAATGACAACATACAATGTTGTAAAGTCGAAATATCAGACATGTATATCAGCTTCAAAAGTCGACTATGGCTAATCCTCAAGGAATTTATCCGTGAATTTTGTATAGGATGCAGCCTTTCATGTTTTTAGTCTTCGAAATCAAGTGACTTGAGGTTTCATCACTCCTACATCAAGGAATGAATATTTTTACAAAGGTGAGCCAAGTAATCACCCACCAAGGATGGAATACGGTCGCTCCAGCTCCAAGTCTTTTTCTTGCCAAGCCGCAAGGCTGAGATGCACCATGTTCTCACTCACATGTTGCAAAGTGGGGATATGTCTCGTCGATCAATCTCACTTAGGACTACTCTAAATATCTCTCGTCGAGCCGCAAGAAGGGATGTACCAAGTTGTCGTTGCACTCTCTTGAAAACCTACAAAAATAAGAAAAGATTTTGGATCCCTCGGTGCCAACAACATGGCATTTTTGCGGATACGGTGCGAGTAGCACGACGATCATCTCGGTTAATGGATATCGATGCCATAGCATGACGTTTCTGCACCTGTGGATACGATGCCAATAGCATAATGGTTCGATTCGGCATGATAGACATCGAGGCTGACAACACGATTTTCCAAATCAACATGGGGAACATTGTGACATACAGTTTAATTCATCATGATGAATAGCAGTGTCGTACGCTTAGCCCTATCCAATTTGGATGTTGAACGGAAGTCTCCAATGGTACAAGATAAATAATTTTACATCACAAAATCGAGCATCATCCACTAGAGCAAGCGAGCACAGCTTGTGAAGGCATCTAAAGCCTTTGCTGTCACGCCCTCATAAGCCTGCAAAAAAAAAAGGAAGAGAGATGCGGGAGCCTACGATGCTTAGTGCACAAAGCTCTTTGGTGCTCTGGTTGATCTCTATTGAGTTTAGGGGCTGCCTTAGCGTCGTACATCCCTGTTGGAATATGGCCAATATTTTGGCTAATGAAGTCCATTTCACATAAACATAAGCATCTTTGCAAAGTGTAGACTTTGTTGGCAATATTCTTTGGGACCCAAAAATATTGCATTGTGTGGTGGACATCATTTGCTCAAGTTGCATCTCTTCTTTTACATCTAAGAGGCCAAGACTTTTTTGCCTATAAAAGGGAAGGCCATTAGTTCATTTTATACACACCAACAAGACTTGAGTCTTCATTTCTTGTTTCTTCCTTTCCTCCTTTATTAAGAGTATTTTGTATGAGAGTTAAGTGTTAGGAAACACTTGTGTGAACCCTTTCTTTGGAGTGATCTTGTGAGGTTATTCTCTTAGGGTATTTGAGATTAATTAGAGTATTTACTCTAATTTTGTACTCTTATTGGTATAGTAAAATTGCCCCTCTCCGCTTGTGGACGTAGGTCACTTTGACCGAACCACGTTAAATTTGTGTCTTTTTTATCTAATTTAATTACCAGTATTATCAACTTGCATTGTCTTTGTTATTGTCATTATACCGTTATTTGGCTAAATTCTGCACTACCCGGGTTCCCGATCCTAACAAATTGGTATCAGAGCCGAATCTAACCAGGTTACTTTCAATAGCCAAAATGACTCTAACAAAGACCTATGTTGAGAAATTTGACCGAAGTGCAAACTTCGGAATATGGCAATTAAAGATGGAAGCTATCCTAATTCAGGATGGCTTAGACTTGGCGTTGCAATGAAAGGAGAAGAAGTCGGATAAAATGACGGACGAAGAGTTTGCCATCATAGATAAAAAGGCAAAATTAGGTATCATTTTAATGAGGTATTACGTAAAGTTTCAGTAGAAACCACAGCCAAAGGCATGTGGGAAAAATTGAAAACCTTATATATGAAGAGGACGGTGGAAAATAGATTTTACCTGAAGCAGAAGCTTTATACAATTCGTATGGGTGAAGGTACATCTATTCTCTCTCATCTTGACACCTTTGATTCCATTCTTATGGATTTGAGTAATATAGATGCTGAAATTAAAGATGAGGATCAAGCCGTGTTACTATTTTGTTCTCTACCCCTATATTTTAAGCATATAAGAGATACTATGCTTTATGCAAATGATAATAACTCTTATAAGGATATTAAATCTATCTTAAAATCAAAAGAACATATAGATAGTGATATTACTGGGGAAGCTAGCGGAACTCAAGCGAAAGTTGGCTTGTTTGTTAGGGGCAAATCTGACTCCATATCCAGATACAATAATTTAGAGTGTCGCTATTGTCATAATAAAGGTCACATTATCTCTGAATGCTATAAACTGAAAAATAAAAAAAAATCATAAAGAAAGAAAAAAATGAGCACAAAAATACTGACAATGCCGAAGCTAGTGTAGCAACTGCTGAGATTGAGGAAACTATATTTTTAGCAACTGAAACTAGTTTCAGATTAGACAATGAGTGGATTTTAGATTTCGATTGTTCATATCATATGTGTCATAGCAGGGACTTGTTTTTTTACATATGATTCAGTTGCATGTGGAGTTGTCCAACTGGGTAACAATGTTACTTGTAACGTTGTTGGCAAAGATACAATTCAGATCAGAATGTACGATGGTGTGGTGAGAACTCTCACCGATGTTAGATATGTTCCTGAGTTGAAGAAAAGTCTCATCTCTTTGGGCACTTTAGAATTCCTTGGGTGCAAATTCACCGGTGAAGGTGGAGTTCTAAAAAAATTTCAAGGTGCTCTTGTGATCATGAAAGCACACAGATCTGGTTCGTTGTATACTTTATTGGGCTCCACTGTTATAGGTCCTACTACAGTTTCGGTATCAGACAACTTGTCTGATTTTGATGGCATTTAATTTTGACATATGCCCATTGGGGCTTTTGCGAAGAGGGTGGAGCAAATTTACTATATCAGCCAAAATTAGGCCAAGGTGGAGATTTGTAATATGACCAATATTTTGGCTAATGGAGTCCATCTCACCTAAGCATAAGCATCTTTGCAAAGTGACTTTGTTGGCAATATTCTTTGGGACCCAAAAATATTGCTTTGTGTGGTGGACATCATTTGCACAAGTTGTATCTCTTCTTTTACACCTAAGAGGCCAATACTTTT